TAGGTTTATTTAAAAAATTGCTGTGAGAGGACTCGTACTGCTCTACACACTAAGACACATGACGCACCCTATGCGTCATGCACTATTATACCGACGCACTAGATGCGTCATGTACTGTTGCACCGACGCACCAGGTGTGTTATGTACTATTGCACCGACGCACCTGGTGCGTCACGTACTATTACATGTACTAGTATATCGACGCACCTGGTGCGTCATATTGAAATCGAATCACCTAAAATTCAGAAATGCATCTCCATTTTCACCTCTTTGTCCAGCTGATGCAAATACCACGTCGCATCCGGTTGAAGCGTTCCAAATTATTCAGAACAGTACAAAATGTTCTTTCATCGTCAGACTCTTCCGCCTCTAATTACAGTAACACACATTTGCGACTAATTACCCCAACCGTTCCGAATCTTCTTTATTATTTAACGCGAGCGTTATTTGTTTTAATAATCGTCGGACAATTAAAGGCCCGAGTTTATGGCGTGGCACGTGAAAAAAATATCGGTGTTATACGGTCCGCTCGGAATACGGTGGCGTCGAGCAACGGCGGAAATGGAAAGAGAGCATAGCGAGAGCAAGAGGAAAAGAGAGGAGAAAAAAGAAATAATTTCAGTATTCCAACAAGAAGAGGCAGCGTGATCTTTCTAGCGAAACATCGTCTGCACGTTAGCCAGGCCTCGCTGGTAGACCTTTCTCTCTCTGTTTGACTGGAATGCACCAAAAATAAATTCGGCGGCGGAGTGCCATTTTGGAATCACCCCTTAATGCATTTGTCTACCCCCCCTCTCGCGCCTCTTCATTCTGTCACGCATCTTCTATATCGTATCGTGTTTCTCATTCTTCTGGCACGTTTAGCATGTACGAGTTTGTACTTGGCGCCGAATTTCTTTGCTTCTCAATGAAACCAACCGGACGACTGAATTGCTTTTTATGTGGACCATTTACGTTTTCGGCTGGTAACCGTTAGCGTAGACATATTGGGAATTTATTTGATTTAGTGGGGACTTGTTAGTTCATTTTTATAATGGACTTTCTGAGGAGAGGAGGAACTTGTATTAGGGGAAATTTAGGAGGATCTCAGAAAGAGCTCAGGAGGGAGATCCTGAGGAGAGCCTCAGGTTCTTAGACTCATATCTCTGGATCTCTAGATTTGGATCTCTGGATCTTCAGATTTCTGAATCTCTGCATTCCCACATTCTTACATCCCTGCATATTTGTATCCCCATATGCTAGATCATTTATAGATCTCATAATCAGCATCATAAAATCAGTAGATTACAGCAATCAAACCTAGGATCCTAAATACCGTTACTCTACATATATATACTCATAAATCTTCAAATCTGTAATCATCACAATCTCCTCCTAACATCCTTGAATCTCGTATTTTCTACCATAACCATTTTCCCCAGAGACCTCCCTTCGCTAAAAATAATTGCATCGTACAAAATGTCACGTTGACTAGATTCCGTGTAGGTATTGATTATTTTATAAACGCACGGCGGGATTGAGGTCATTAGCGGGGTTAAATGATCGTGGAAAAAAAAATGGTTCTTTGTTTCTCGAGTCATTGTCCGTGGACGAAACGAAGAATTCATACGCGAACGCTAATGAACGGGTTTCAAGGCTGATTACGAGGCACGATAAATTATCTTTTAAGACACGAATCGATGGTGTGGTATGGCTGGCGATTAATTCGACGATAGCGAATGCTATTTTTCGCGCAAAGTGAGAGAAAAAAGGAGGAAGATCGTTTTTATAGTCGTGAGTTTTGAATTACGACTCATTAGAAAGTGTTGTACGACCGCCGGTTGTTTAATTATCCTGAACGTGCCTTTGACCCGATGTGTCGGCCACGATTCTTATGGGTTTCAATGAAGAAAGTATCACTTTCCATTGTTCCAATTAGTATCGCGAGGTAGGCGGTGTTAGACACGCGGTGCGTTATTGCAGGAAAACTCGAGACGCATGTGGTGCGTCTTGTGGGACAGTATAGGACGCACCGGGTGCGTCATCTGTTACGTCATTGCATGACACACATACAGTGTATAGTTATGATCAAGTATAAAATTAACAATACACACAGTACTTACATTTGGTACATAATTTTACACACCTAGTGCGTCAGTATAATAGGACATGACGCGCCTGGTGCGTCAGTGTAGTTAGATGACGCTCTAGGTGCATCGGAATACTGGAACATCACGCACCTGATACGACGTTATAATAGAATAGTGCGTCGATATAATAGAACATGACGCACCTGATGCGTCGTTATAATAGAACAGTGCGTCGATATAATAAAACATGACGCACCAGGTGCGCCGGTGTAGTTAGATATGACGCACCAGGTGCGTCGGCATACTAGAACACGACATGCACCTGATACGTCGTTATAATAGAACAGTGCGTCGATATAATAGAACATGACGCACCCTGTGCGTCGGTATACTGGAAGATGACGCACCCAGTGCGTCGGTAAATTGGAACATGACGCACCTTATGAGTTGGTATAATGGAACATGACGCACCTTATGCGTCGGTATAGTTGAACATGACGCACCTGGTGCGTCGATACCGTGGAACATGACACACCCGGTACGTCGGTAAATTGGACCATGACGCACCTTATGCGTTGGTAAATTGGAATATGACGCACCTGATGCGTCGATATCGTGGAATGACACACTCGATGCGTCAGTATAATGTAACATGACGCACCTGGTGCGTCAGTATAATTAAACGTGACACATCCGGTGCGTCAGCCTAATGTAACATAACGCACCCAGTGCGTCAGCCTAATATAACATGACGCACCAGTTGCGTCTTCACTTCCAAATCCCTTCGAAACCAAACCTAACAACTCGCAGTCATCGCAAAACCACGATTCGCACTGAAAACAACTTCTACAAAAAATGCGTGCATGTACAAGCACATATGTACGTACAACTAGCGAGATCACGTCGTGTGACGAAGGCGATTGCAAGAAAATCATTCCCATTTTTTTTTTTCCTTGCGGTACGGTGAAACGGTACGCGTCGGTAAATTGAACCATGACGCACCCTATGCGTCGGTAAATTGGAACATGACACACCTTATGATTTGGTATAATGGAACATGACGCACCTTATGCGTCGGTATAGTTGAACATGACGCACCTGGTGCGTCGATACCGTGGAACATGACACACCCGGTACGTCGGTAAATTGGACCATGACGCACCTTATGCGTTGGTAAATTGGAATATGACGCACCTGATGCGTCGATATCGTGGAATGACACACTCGATGCGTCAGTATAATGTAACATGACGCACCTGGTGCGTCAGTATAATTAAACGTGACACATCCGGTGCGTCAGCCTAATGTAACATAACGCACCCAGTGCGTCAGCCTAATATAACATGACGCACCAGTTGCGTCTTCACTTCCAAATCCCTTCGAAACCAAACCTAACAACTCGCAGTCATCGCAAAACCACGATTCGCACTGAAAACAACTTCTACAAAAAATGCGTGCATGTACAAGCACATATGTACGTACAACTAGCGAGATCACGTCGTGTGACGAAGGCGATTGCAAGAAAATCATTCCCATTTTTTTTTTTCCTTGCGGTACGGTGAAACGGTACAGTGATGCAAGGATCAGACGTTTTACCTGGCCGGTGCTCTCTTCGCTGACCTCGAAGGGTTTCTTGCAGAATCGAGGCCCACATAAGGGAATTTCTGCGCCGGCCTGAAATTTTTTACCGCGGGGACCGAAGCGGATGGGGTTCCGCATGGTCGCTCAGCTTGAACCGTCCAGCGGCTGAATACTATCATGACGTCACTGGATACGGTCACTGCCTGAATTATTCAGTATTTCTTCGTTTCTACTCGTACACGCTGGTTGGCTCTTTGTGCTAATAGTCCTGGCCATAATCGTAGAACGTTTCGTACATCATGATCGTACGGGGATTTTACTTTGATAGGTCAAATTGTTGGGTTCGCCATTTTTATCGTTTCACGCGTTGACAACGGATTTTCATTAGTTCGCAAGTATACCATTTTTGTACGAAGATGTTCACCGCGTGGGGTAGTTAGACAAAGTAGAATTTAGCAGAGCATCAACGCTGGTCCTTAAGAGATGATTCGACAACAGGTGTCAATGTGCTTAAGATGCTATGTAGCTTCCTGATATTTACAGTCATATTTTCCAAGCATTAGAAATAATTCTCTGTAACTTCTAGAGACGGCAGAGCAAAGGTTAAAGCTCTATTTTGTTTTTCGAATTCGTGCACGCTATCAGGGACAGATTTCCAGCCGGTCATTTAAGTGATTCAAACGATGAACGCATGATTCTTTCAACATCTCCCGCTTCGTTATCAAGCATGGCCCATCGCCGGATATCTCGCAACCGTACCGTATTTTTCCCGCCATTGTATGGAAATGTCAGAAATCTCTTGTTCTGAAGAAAACACCGGAATGGAAATGTTGATCGAAAGGGTTCTCTTATTATTACCGAATTATCGATTCAGAATGCACCTCGAGTTCAAAGTAGTTGTCTAATTGTTTGACGGATAATGACTCGGATTCGTGACTCGAATAATCGGAATTCGATGCTGGCTTTACCCCTTTCATTAGAATTCAATCGGCACGCGTAACGGTGCGTTTAACTATAGCGATCGTCTTCAATCGAAAAACGGTGAACTATCGCCAATTAATCCGATTTAACGGAAACAATAAATAAGTACTGTTTGAAACACGTTACTATTAGAAAAGCAATTCTCGTACGATAAACAGGTGTACAGTTTGCTAACGTGGATTCGTGTTCACTCCACCGTGTGAAAATCTCCTACGCAAGGTGAAACGCGTGTACGAGCTTCTTTTCCTCTGTTGAAATAATTACTTCAGGAAAGTCGCTCGTTTCTTCGATCAATAAAATAATCTTCATCGTTCAGGAGAATTTTCATCGTTCAATTTTCATTGTTTAAATCGATCATTCTTTTTTCAGCAATGTCAATCGCTGATCGAGGAGAACCGAAGACTGCAGAACGCCCTGACGACCAATCACATACCTCACGTACAAGTAATCGACAGTGTTTTCCTTCAAACCCAAGTTGAAACATTGCAGTGGCAGCTGAAACAGGTTTGTATTTAACCGTGAACAACGATCGTTTAACATACTTGACTTGCAAGGGGAAACTGGTAATGTCCTCGACCAGATTACCTTATTCCAACACTTTGATCTTTTTTCTCGCGCGACCCTGAAAAATATTTAAATCGTGTCCTTAATGGTACACTCGCGTTACGACTGGTTTTATGACACAACCGAGGAAAGGATGCTTTCATCGGGACATTTTTATAGCAAGATTCAATCGGTTATTGCAAGATATTTCTAGCAGAAAGTATTTCTGTTGTGAAACTATTTGAATGCATGCTCCATTGCTCTGGCACCCACCGTTCTAACATCCATTACGTTAGCGCCTATTGTTTTAGCATTCATTGCCCTAGCACCCATTGCTGTGCCACTCAACGCTGTAGCACCTACTTCTAACACCCATCAGCACTATAGTGATGACTCCAGAATTTATTACTTTATCATATAATTCTGTGGGGTTCATTTTTTGAAACCTAATTCTTCAGCTACCAGTTGCTCTATCAAGTTTTGATACTGTTCCTCCATGTCCTCTATTAGTACTATTACTCTAGCACCTTTCATCTGTTCACATACTCATAGTCTAATAAGCTTCTGAAAAAGCAGTGAGACTAATTGTTTGTAAAAATTTGCAGATAGAAGCAAACAGACAAATGTACCGTTCACTGATGGAGCAAGTGGTTCGTTTCCTGGATCGAGCCCGAAAGAGCTTGGATATTCTTCACGAGAAGAGTAATCACAAGGACAAGAATTCATCAGGACGTGTACCACGTAGCCGTAGCGTTCACGCGGTACACGCGGATGCGTCGCCGAATCGTGGTGCCTCAGCATCCTCCACGTCTTCCTCGGACTCGTCTCGTTTCACCAGGGCGAAATCTGTGACCCAGATCTCGCCGTGTACCACGGGTTATCGTGAATTCACGTGGTCCATGCTTCGCAGAAACGACCCTGCTCATTGCACACCGCCCCGTAATAAATCTCAGGATCTCAATAACACACACGAGGGTGTGGTTTATCGAAGGCCGAAACAGCCGGAGCTTGACCCAAATGATATACCACCCGAGAAATTGTCTCAGGAAGCATTTAGGTAAGCGTTGTTAAGTTGATATTATTCCGTATATCAGATACGAGGTATCAGGATGATAATTTTAATTTATTTTTGCAGGCTAATGAGAACCGTACAATCTTTACTCGCGATGAAAGAACCTGACCTTGCGAGGATTTCGCCTGTGGGAAATAACGAATCTTCGCCTTCGCCCGTAGACCGTCATCGTCATAATAATCACCACGAGTCTCTGACCCTGCAGAATAACAGCTTTGCAAACTCAACGAGCTTACAGGAAAATTCAGATTATAAGAGGCACTCCATTTGCGACCGTGGAAACGAATCGAGCGGTACCGATAACGATAGCAGGACCTGTTTTCTAAAATCCCCAAACGGGGTCGAAGTCGATCGGAATCTACAAAATCTTCTCCCTGGCGTGAGGAGGTCTATCGACGCTACCTCTCTCAACTCGGGAAGCAGCAAAACCACCGAGGAAGAAGACGGACTTCCACACAATACTTCATTTAACGTTTCACTGCCAGAGCACGATGGTATTTTTATGTGTACACCAACTTCGACGCCAGTGAGGCGTTCTAGGAAAGTAGAGAAGAAGGAGAAAGAGAAATGTTCAAAATCAAAACCGGCTGCAAGCGTGAGCAGCGTCGAGGATGAAAGTGGATTCTCTTCTATGAGTTCATTTCAAGAAATTGGCTTACCCGGTACACTGCCAATCTCTCCCATCAGAGGTTGCCACACGGAAGTAGGTTTACCTGAAGTGCCATTGGAAAAAGCAAGGCATCGTAGATGGTCTTCTACTCCAGTTGAGATTCAGGCTCTCTTTAAGCAGCGAAATAGTTTTACCACTTCTCAGACCACCACAGAATCCTTAAGCGTTTGGGTCTGAGCAGTTCTGTTAATTGTGTAAGCTGAATTTTGAATATTGGTAACTCTGTTGTGTTTGATACATTGAAATTCAGAAAAGAAACCAATTGACTGAATGTTGAATACAATTGAGTATTAGTACGAGGTAATTCTTTGTAAATATGTTTTTCAAAATATTACCTACTTGTTTTGCATTCTACTTGCTTGTCTTGTCAAAACAATTGAATTTTCGAAAAAGTATACAAGAAGGGATAATTTGCATAATATATGCTTTATTTTAAAAATACAGTTTGCTTTTTATTTTTTTGACTAAGTTTGCGAACAGTTTGATGTAATAACATAGGACATGAATTTGTTCAGAGCTTTACTAGGAAGTTAATACTTATGCAAGCGTAATTAGTACTTTACATGCGTTAGATAAGAAGAGTATGTATTTCTTGTTAGCTATGTGCAGAAGATTTTGCAGAAATTGTATTAAGTATCTGTATTAATTAAAGTAACCGATGAACATGATATACCGCAAATTAGTACCAAAATTACAATAGGATTTTAACTGTATTATAAAGAAATGTATTGTAATTATGTTAGGCTTATGAGTAAGCAGATAAAATTCATATTGTTATACTTATTTTGGTACTCGAAACTGTGTTCAACTTGTACTTAGAAGTATTAACATGCCAGAATTAATTTATGCAAATTGTAACCCATTTTACCTTTCCTGAATTTGTATATAAAAAAATATTCAGCATTCAAAGAACGAGAAACGAAGGAACATTTATTTCAATTATTAAAACACTATGAATCATATTCACACAGTTTCAATAATTTTTTACTCTTTATTCACTTTGCAATTATACACCCATTAATTGAATTGTTACTGTATGAATATGATTCATAACGTGTTGTGTTTATATTGTTGTTTTAGGTTACAAAATCTCCCTCACACAATTCCTGACATACACTTCCATAACAACAATTCGACAATAATAAACACTTGAATCCTACAGCGAAACTAACAAGTCATGTTTGACCGGTGGATTTTTAAGAATAAATCCAATAAAAACATAGAAGGAGAAGAACAAGCAGGTAAACTATTGCAAAAGTAATGAAAAATAGAAAAAAGCTACGAATGAAATTTGTTGGTTAAAGATTTGCGGAGAACCGGCGATGGAGCGAAGAAGATAGAGTGGGGGTAATCGTGCGCGCGCATCGCGATAAGCTCGCGTAGACGGCACTCGTTATCAGTACGGTAGGCGTCGTTCATTTGTTCGCGAGTCGGTCCAGACGGTAGCCAGGAGATCGCGCCACCAGCCGATCCACTTTTAGATTGATTTTCAAGAGCACCGTGCACGGGGTAGCGCTCCGCGTTTATTTTAACGTGGCCAGAGTGTTCGAACGGGCCGCGACCGTCTCGGGTGATAGTAGAAACAGCGTGACGAGGTGAGAGGTTCGGGTGCGGGCGCCTTTTCTCTCTGCCGGTCTGGAAGAACCATTTAATTTGTGTCCCACGGGAGGCACATCGTTCTCGTTGTTATTTGACTCGTTGTTATCCGTGTGTGCTGTTTCTGCTCCGCGTATACGCTCGTGTGTAGTTCGCGTGCCACACATACGAAAGTCTATCTATATCTGCTTGCTCGTTCTTTCGTACGGTGTTCTCCGTGTACGAACCAAGTGTGTGTGCGTGTGTACCTTAGAACGTGCGGCTTCGTGGCGCAGTGCGTGAAATGAGTGACAAGGATCGTTCTTCTCCCACCCTAGTTGAAAACAGTCTCAAGTCGTTACTGGATCAACCGAATATATTTCCACTGATTGGTAAGTGACAAAAACCAATTCTGTTTTAGTTAATAGCTTGTAAGGATATCGGTTAGATCGTTCTCGATGCGGGCCCTCCCCTCCCCTCACTCGATCGCCTTGCTAGAACGCACATTTTGTTCTTTTCTTCGAAATTCGCGCAAATACTACTTCAGCGCTGACTAGCGGCGATCGAACGAATACGAAATGCGGTCTTTTATCATTCTCCATTGACGTTGAACGTGTTGTTCGATATTTTCTTTGAACATGGAAGTCTTTTTGCTGTGACATTTGAATTTTTTCCGGGAACTGTTTACATTGATTTCTTTTTCTTTCGTTCTCGTCGATTGATTACGCGAGACGCGCGTAACGGAATAGAGACATTGAAACTCGACAAAACAATACGGACAAAATGAACTGTAGAACGAAAAAAAAGGAATGTAATAGAAGAATACATTTATGTTCATTGGTTGCGCCGGCGCTCGGTTCTCGGTCTCTCGATTAACCTCGTTTGGACCCCGTGGTACACCACGTGATGTTACCAACCTAACCTCACTTTCACTTGCTCAACCTGCATCTACGTATATACTCGGTTCGGGTTCAGCTCAATATGACTGCCTCGCGAACCAGTATGCTAACCTTTTCGATTTGACCGTGGATTGAACTTTATTAGTGTCACGTGACATTAATAAAGATTTCAGTGAGGATTAGTTATTCTAAAGCGTCAAAATTTCATTATTGTTGCCGTTATGGATAATATTGAAATGTTACCAATAATGCGATTTATCGATAACGTCAAGATATTGTTAATTTCATCGTTTAAATTCGAAGCATGAATAAATGTGACTGATAAATTGGTGTAAATTAGGTTAAGCTTGAAGTTTAAACGAAAATATGTAAATCTGTGATTGATTATTTTTGTAATTATTTTTTCTGCAGCATATTACGAGTTTTCGTAAATATTCGATATCTATATCAATACTCCTTCCCGAAACACGTGTTGGCTTTTTGCTAATCGTTTTACAAGAGGGCAAAGCGAGGGAGAGATAGAAGAGGAGGGAGAGCGAAATAAAATGTTAGTTGCGTAGTACATATTTATTTAGTCTGCTCAACCATGGTATCTTGACTGACGTTCATGGTTTTGCGTCAGCTTCTTAAGTGGAATTACATCGTGCTTAGATAATTGTTCGATTATTATACTCTCGACAATAATTGATTCGGGGACTATTTTCTCGAAATTAATTTATTAAAGATAATTCGACTTTCCTATCGAGTTGCATTATTCATCGAACAAGGTTCGACGTTTAACTTCAGGTAATTGCGTTTTGCGCAATCGCGGCGCTCGTTCGAGTTTGACTATCAGTAATAAAAAAAAGGAAATCACGTTCAGTGTTGCTAGCGTCGTAGGAAATAAATGATATCGCTAATAGAAGGAAAAAGAGAGAGAAACTGTAAGCGTCTCGTTGGTGCTAATTATTATTTTAATGATGTTACATTAATAATTCGAAACATAGCTCTGGTAAATTAAGGACAGTTCCCTGACTCAACGTAATGGCTTACTTCCCATTCAACTTTGCGACCAGTTTCATGCGTCGTTCACTACGAAATAGGTTTCATTGTAAGGTGACATTAAATGACTACGAATAACCGTGTCGTCGATATAAAATCGTACAAGTATTTCTGCCGGTCGAGTAACAAACTCGAAAGAGCGTTTACGCGGCATTTTGAAATTGGCGCCACTTTTGAAACGAAATACAGCAGGTGTTCCGAAACTGTAATCTATTAAAGCAATAATCTATTGTTTATTTTGAAACGGTATTATTTTGGTTGTAGATATCATGTCAAGTGAATGGACAGATTATTGAATAAGTAACTATACCGAAAGTTGAGATCTGTTATCGTTATCAGTTGTTTTCTTGTACTCGTGTTTCGCGTTCCTTCACGAAATCGTTTTACATCCGTATTCGAATACGCTTAGCGATCATATTTCACTTCTCTTTTTATGCAGCAGATTCTTTCTAATAAACGATGGGAACAATATTTTTTAGTAATAGGTTAAAGCGATAACCATGAACAACTGTAATCTGTATTAATCGTAGTTTCTTGGTCATAGTTGACGCTTGTGTGTGAAAAGGGTTAACTGTTTTTAATGTTAACGTTAACTGTTATCGTGCATGCGTGTTCAGTTTATCTTCGAGGCGTTTTGTACGAGTTCGATAACGATCGGTACTTCTGTCGTATTTCTTAACGTTAGTTACTGTATTTATCGGACAATATTACGATACTGTTTAATTATACTGGTATAAAAGCTATAAGTAAATTGAAAAGAAATATAGAAATAGTTGCAAATGATATGATTGATGTAGATAATATTTAAAAATTATATTACGAAATATATGGAATGTTTAGAAAATCAAGAATCTAATATATTTCGAACGCGTTGCACAAAACTCGTGCAAGCAGAATCTCCATTCAATTTTAATCGATAACAGTGTACAGTACATTTCAATTAAATTTAGTATGAACGCGGGGTCATTGAATAACACGAGATTCAACATTGACACTGAGATAACACATTACGTGTCACGAATCCGTTCAAGCAAACCGTATAAACGTTTGTCAGCGAGGGAATTACAAGCGAATTGAAAATGTATGAGTATCTGGAAACGTGGAGAAGCTGTCGCGGTCAGCGTAGGCGTTAACTGAACGTAATCACGTGCGTTTTTCTACCGCATGTAACACACCTCTCTTCTCCTATCTTTTTCTACCTCTATAATTAATCAACGATACGTTTAAAACTCACGCACGTCAAGTATTTCGGTAGCTGAATATTTCGGAAAGTATTCATTAATCAGGCCACGCTGCGCTTAGCTTGTTGCTTTCTGTCAGAAATATTTTTAGTGACGTTGGGATCTGCCTGTTCGAATTCCTCTATCTAACATTGTACTAAGATATTTGTATAATAAAACTTGGCGAATGTATTATCGTACATTGGTGTACTATATATCGAGCTATAAATACAGATGGTCACGCGAAAGTTGAATGGTATAATAATTCGTTCTTTATCAATGGAATTATAAATTTTTCAGTTGGGAGAGCAAAATCTGTATTTATTAGAGTCCTTTAAGGATGATTAATTTAGATGACAGTCAAGGCTCTATAGCGTTGTATTTCCACGGTTAGAATTTCGACGTGTTCTATTTTCATATGTACCTCAGCGCTTTGTATTTCGGTGTGCTATATTTCCACGCGTTTTATCACCAGTTTGTATCACCACGCGCTGTACTATCTCGCGTTATATTGCCTCGCATCATATTCCCACTCGTCGTATATCCTCGCATTATATTACCTTGCGCTGTACTATCTTGTGTTGTATTACCTCGCATTATATTGCCATTCTCCATACACCACGTTATATTACCACCCTCCAGATATCCTCATATTATATTGCCACTCTTCGTACATCCACACGTTATATTACCACTCTTCATACATTATCGCATTATATTACCACTCTCCACATATCCTCACATTATATTGCCACTCTCCATACATCCATACGTTATATTACCACTCTCCACATATCCTCGCATTATATTGCCACTCTCCATACATCCACATGTTATATTACAACTCTCTACATATCCTCGCATTATATTGCCACTCTCCATATATCCACACGTTATATTACCACTCTACATATATTCTCGCGTTATATTGCCACTCTCCATACATCCTCGCATTATATTGCCACTCTCCATACATCCTCGCATTATATCGTCACTCTCCATATATCCTCGCATCTTATAGCCACGCCCCATATATCCTCGCATTGTATTGCCACTCTCCATATATCCTCGCATTATATTGCCACTCTCCATACATCCTCGAATTATATTGCCACTCCCCATACATCCTCGCATTATATTGCCACTCTCCATACATCCTCGAATTATATTGCCACTCCCCATACATCCTCGCATTATATTGCCACTCGCATCTTATAGCCACGCCACATATTCTCGCATTATATCGCCACGTGTAATATGTATACCTCCACTGTATTCTCTCACAATCGCGATCTGATTAAATGTGACAAATTTAGTAAACGATTCACGGTGGATCACGCGACGAGTAATTTGACGAATGAGTATCTCGTGCGTTGCCATATATCGTAGCTCCAACACGACCCTCCGATATCGTTCAGAAAAGACTAGTTAACTCGGCCCGTCTAGTTAAAAGGTCAACGAATGATTAAAAGGCGGCGAGGATAATTTCGCGATAAGCCAGTTACGACGAGCAGGAGGGACCCGTATCAGAGTCCTCCGGTAATAGTCCTTGTACGAACACGATTTGTCCCCCCATTTCGAGAAACGTCGAATTCGAAAACGTTGTTCAACGTGGCCGACCTATGGTCTTTCTTCTTCTCTTTTCTTTTTCGCGAGCGGACGAGGCCGCTCGCCTCTGGCCTGGCGTGGCCTCCAAGCGAGTATACCGCTGTCGCTGGCAGCTCGCCAAAGCTTATGCCAGGTTTCAACATACCGGTCTACATGGATATTTTCGGGTTTGCGGCGAAACGACAGCCTCTAGCTTCTGTGTGTGTTTCCAAGTGTTTTATCGTGTCGCTGAAATAATACAAAACAGAAACATCAATCGCGATAAAAGGGGGAACTGTACACACCCTACGACGGGGTGGAAGTATATCCTGCATAGAGCGTTAGCCTAATTGCATTAATGCTGTCGGGAACGATGCACCGTGTTCGTTCACTGTTGTATGATGACGCACCATATGCGTCTTACAGTCGTGATAATTGACAATGCACTCTGTATTTATTTATTTATATATGACCATGCGGCATTCTACGTATTCTGTATTTATTTTACACAGTGACGCACCAGGTGTGTTCTCTACACCAAAAGCTGTAAACTACAAGTTTCGATTATTCTTTTTCAGCACTATCGAAACATTCAATCAATAGCGAGGTAAAAAAGAATCGGTTTCTACTTCCTGCCGTTGATTACCATCACCGCGGTATGGTAATAGGCAGAACGGAGTCATGGCAAAGCTTATCTGGTCATAAGTTGCTTACTCGTTATTGTGTCGCCTTAAATAATTTACGGCCTCTGAGTTAGGTGAGGGCACGTGGTCGTTTCTCAAGCCCTGTTCACCGTGTTTACGGTTCTGCAAAAGGAGCTGTACGATAAGATAGCGCTGAGGCGATTTACGGTGAGAATGGTTAGAAGTCGACGAGTAGAAATCAATCTAACAAGAAACTATGGATGTAGAAATCACTTATTGTTAATGGACTTTGGTCGCTATGTGATAAATTGCTATGCGTTATATCGTCTCGCGTTATATTGCCATCTGTGGTTTTATCACATATTAAATTTCTACGTTTGATTATTATTATATATTAGATCTCTAAATGTTAATAGTATTATTCGTGAATATTTCCGTGTGTTATATCGCCACGCGTTATATTGCCATGCGTGGTATTGTCACGTATTAGATTTCTAAACGTTAGTACCATCATTCGTAAGTATTCTCATGTGTTGTATCGCCACGCGTTATATTGCCACGCGTTATATCGCCACGCGTTATATCGCCACGCGTTATATCACCACGCGTTATATTGCCACGCGTTGTATTGCCAAGCGTGGCATTATCACATATTAGATTTCTAAACGTTAATACCATCATTCGTAAATATTTCCATGCGTCATAGTGCCACGCGTTATATCGCCACGCGTTATATCGCCACGCATTATATTGCCACGCGTTATATTGCCATGCGTGGTACTGTTATATATTAGATTGCCACGCGTTAAAATTTCTACGCATCAACAATTTCACTTGTTACATCGCCACGCATTATGTAGCCATTCGTTACATTGCCTCGCGTTATATTGCCATGCGTAGTATTGTCATTTATCAAATCGCCACGTATTAATATTTCCACTCAACGTCTTTACTCGTTACATCGTCATGCATTATATAGCCATTTGTTACATAGCCTCACATTATATTGCCATGCGTAGTATTGTCATTTATCAAATCGCCACGTATTAATATTTCCACTCAACGTCTTTACTCGTTACATCGTCATGTATTATATAGCCATTCGTTACATAGCCTCGCGTTATATTGCCATGAGTGGTATTGTCATTTATCAAATCGCTACGTATTAATATTTCCACGCACCATCTTTTCTCGTTACATCGCCACGCATTATATAGCCATTCGTTACATAGCCTCGCGTTATATTGCCATGAGTGGTATTGTCATTTATCAGATCGCCACGTATTAATATTTCCACGAATCAATATCTTTACTTGTTATATTGCCATGCGTTTTATATTTGTGCATCATATCCACGCCTTCAATTTCCTCGCGCTATATCGCCACACACAACTCACCACTAGTAATCTATATGGCGGTTGGTAACCGATTCGACTTTGTCAGTATTAACATTCAGAACATACTTTCTCGCTTTTCTCGTTGCTTACAGTTTTTTCCTCGTTCCATGTCACGCTGTTTAAATAGGCAGTCAAGTTAATGTAATTGAACGAATCGTACAAGTGTGCGGTGACACGAAGCCTGCACGTCGTGTTGCCTGAAAATACGGCTTCCACGTCAAGGTTGTTGCATACGCGGCATAAAACCACGAGATCTAGAAGTTTTTGAACCATTCAGTCCCGTCTCGTGTCTCGCTCGAGTCTTATTCTTTTCACGAATTTTATAAAACGTAGACTTTCCTGTTGCCTCTTCCATTTGCCGGATCCTACCGTATCAACTGCAAACGTTAGGATAAGTATATTTACCGGTCAACTGAGAAATGCTGAGGAAATGGTATTACCTTAACAAGATGTACGTCTGTTGAGTCAATACACGTTTCGTGTTATCTGAGCTGCGAGATAGACTCGCGTATTCTGCAAATCTGTGCATGTTTGTCCAAGTTTTCGACAGATGGATCAGTATAGTGAGTCTATCAGTTAGCTTCAATATTCTGTTGCGGATGATTTTCTTGTTTTTTCAATTTAAAAAATTTTTTAAATTCTATAAGATATTTATAAACTTTGAAATTTTTGTATTTGTAAAATTTTTTTCATTGTTATCTTGGCAATATTTAACTATCCTCTTTTTATACATATTTCACATTAAACTTCTCTGTGCTCCTTTTAATAAAATTCCAGTTATTTCAATTCGCAAGTACAATGTGATATTTTAACCCAGAGTTTGGCTCTCTCGCATTTAACTGATCACTGCATAAAATAATTACCAAGAGTACAATTTGTCAGATCGGCTGCCGTGGCGATGAATGACAGCCTCTCTGGTCCAAATACAATATCACGTGATCCTAGTCGTTAGTTTGCGTGAATCTATTTTGTTTCCGGTTGGTCACACTTTGTTACTTTATTGTCTAATATTCTGTTGGTTAAGCGACGCCTGTCTATCCATAGAGCAGCCTAGGTGAAATAGTCACGCGTTACGACTACACGTGTGCGTATACCGAGGCATCATTAGCGAGACTATCATTAGCCAACAAGGCCGTCGTCGTCGACACATGCACCCTGGCGCTTCTTTAACCCTTTACATCCTTTTATTCTCCTCTGCACATGTGCTCTTATGTAATTACGTTCTGTACAATTTATGAATACACACAATTTATGAATAACATATGTACAATTTTATACGTCATGAATAACTGATAAATAAATATAAGTCATGAATGAATAATACAATTTATAAATGAACACATTAAAATGCAGGTAGAATATGAACTTGCAAACAAGAACTTATAAATAAATTGTACTAATGTAATAAAGTATGATGAGAATATACTATTGGACGAGTTAACACAGCCATGTAAATTAACAAGTAATAATTATTTGGTATAATTGTTCAAATTGTATATCTGACACATAGTCTACCTCCAAGTAATTCATACTCAAAGAATGTACATAAATTTGGTATTAAAAGATGTATTCACAAAATGCTACATTTCTCCAAAACATTTACAATACACATGTATAATAGTCAAAACAAATTTAGTAAAGACATAGAAACATTCCACTAAAATTTTTGTGATCTTCTTGACCTGCAAAGGAAAAGATTCTTGTTAAAAAATAATTACTCAGCAATTAAGATATTGAGAATCACAGTACTCTAGTTATTACAGTAAACAAATAAGAATTAACTGTTGGAAGTTTAATTAGCTAGAATAATTTAGTTCTAACTAGATACGTGACTTCAAAGTTTATTTGAACACCTTCTGCAATATTTGCCTTCTGCAATATTTGTCTTTTGTATGAAGTTTACAGTAGCAATGTATTTAGCAACCCTTGTGTTGCTGTAACATGAAAGACCTTGCAGAAGGTGTTTGAACTGGAAAATGCGTTTAAATGGACCGTGAGCAAACGTTCTACATCGATGTTTACCAGTTGCATCCGTTTCCTTTTCCGCGGTTCAATCTTTGTCTACAGAATCAGCATACAGTGTAGATCATTCGTGCGCTTCCTCAGACTTGCCGGTGGTGGATGAACCCTCGCTCTCAGGGGTGTCTTTTCTTAAAAGACTGCTACTTCTGTTGTTGGTTTGTTTGGTCAGCGTTTTCAACTCCGACGTATCGATCTCTTTCACAATATCATCGGCTTTTTTGCTTCTTCGTTTTATATCGCGAATGCTGTAATTTCTCCTCTTCGATTTTCGTCGCTTCCGTGATTTACGCCTTCGGGATTTGCGCCCTTTCCTGCGCCCTTTGCAGGGCAGCTCCGGGTTCATGTCGAACGGAAGTCCGTTGAATAGTTGTTGGTTGTATGTGAAACATCCGCTGGAAATTGGGAATTTATTAGGCAGTGAATTATGCGTTGCAGTGTTAGATTAACGCAGTGTATTATCTACGTTAGAGTGCGTTGGATTATTCAAGCATTGCATTACTCACACGTTGTTATGATACTGCTTACGTTATAATAGTTACACGTTAATGCATTATCTACGTATTATACAGGATGTCTCATAACTAGGTCCTTGAAATGAGGGGTAGCTGATTCTGAATAAGATTTCCCTTTGCAAAAATTGGATTTGAAGCTTCGTTTTTTAATTATTAAGGAATATAATTTTTCACTCCGTAATTTCCACGCGCTGTATTTCCACGCAGCGTAATTTCTACGCGCCATAATTCCACGTTCCGTAATTTCTACGCGCCATAATACCACACATTGTAATTTTCACGTGCCATCATTCCACGCTCTGTAATTTCTACGCGTTGTATCTCCACGCGTCGAAATTTCTACGCACCGAAATTTCTACGCGCCATAATTCCATGCTCCGTAATTTCTACGCGTCCATAATTCCATGCGTGGTAATTTCACGCGTAGTAATTGCACGCGTCCATAATTCCATGCGTGGTAATTCCACGCGTAGCAGTTCCACGCGTCCATAAATCCATGCGTGGTAATTCCACGCGTCCATAAATCCATGCGTGGTAATTCCACGCGTAGTAATTCCACGCGCCATAATTCCACGCGCCGAAATTTCTACGCGCCATAACTCCACATTCCGTAATTTCCAAGTAACTTATATTAAGGAACATAAATTCCTTTTAGGAAATCCTCTTGCTCTGATTGGTCCGTGTTTTTCCTTAATAATTCAAAAACGAAGCTTCAAACCCCATTTTCGCAAAGGGAAATCTTATTTAGAATCACCTCAGCTATTTCAGGGACCCACACTAAACCCTGTATTACCATCACAACTATTTCAATATAATTAATACCCTTTCAGTCTTTGAAGAATTCCATAATTAACACCGCGTTTCAAAGCGAGTTGGACTTGTCTGTTAACACTGGGTAACGGAAGATTATATTCCTGAGCGATATAGTTGCTGATTTCTCGTTGAGTCGATCCTTGAACAGCCTGTAGACTCCGTATAGCATCCACGATCTGCGCCTCGATTTTCTGAGTCTTTACCATTCTGTCGGCTGTTTCTGAAAATTATAGTTGGTATAAGTCATCGGTTAGATTCAAGATAAAGTATACGTACGATCATCTTTCGAAAACTGGAAGCTGCTAATTCGGTGTTTATTAATCTTCTTCTCGAGTCGAAGATTTCTCTCATTCGACGACGAGATCGGTGATAATAGAAAAAAGAACGCGATGCTAAATTCCGCAAAATTTAGGTCCTTGGTGAGACGGTGTCAAAATCTCTGGGTGACGTTAAACAACGAGGTATCCTGGAAACGATCGTCATGAATATGTGAAGGTGGCATTAGATTGAATCTACATATGCTGTGTTATATTTGTACACTGTTATATTTATATGGTTTTTACTAGCTCATTTTACTCTTCCATTTCACCCATTTTTTGTATTTCTATCTGACTATTTTATGTTCCATTTTTCATCCAAATTTCATTCTTTCTTTTCCTATAATGCATTCGAGATCCATTACCGAGTTTTGAGTTTTCCTCAAAACGCAAAAGGTAATTTCGTTCTATTTCTCGACGGTTTCGCGTGTCTGATGCGTCTACGTTGGTCCTGGTCGGTGTTGGTCTACCAAGCAGAAATAAAACGGCACCGAATAGCGCCAGAAGAACACGGCAGACCTTTAAACAGTGACGTCATCGAAGCTGTTTTCTCATGCCTTCGTAAATATAGTACTCTTCCGCCTGTTTGACTTGCAAATTAAGAGTACAATTAGAGAAGCACCGGTAAAAAAGTACAAAAAAGTTTGTTGTTCGAATTATCGACGCGACGAGACGCGGTGAAAACCTACCGGGATTCGCGCTGTATCGCCTTACAAAATATAGTGACAAAAAGAAATATCTTACAGTACAGAGATAAAGTTCTTATCTAGATCTTAAGGAATGTATACAATCATTACAACTTATTTCTTTGCAATTTTCTGACACACTAATTCAGTTTAGTTTTGTACCATTTTATGAATGAAAGTATAAGACAAATTATGTTTAATAGATCATGATCTCTGTCTTGCAAATTATCTTTTATCCAGTAAATTAAATATTTCAAGTTTAGTATTGTACCATTTTATCAATGAAAGTATAAGAAAAATTATGTTTAATAGATCATGATGTCTGTCTTGTAAATTATCTTTCATCCAGTAAATTAAATATTTCAAGAGCCTCAAGGTTGTCAGGACTTTTCCTATTTGCCACAAGGCCGCAAATCATCTGGAAAGAGATATAAAATTAGTACTATTTCCTCCATCATGACGCGAGTTAATCACTAATTAATTTTAATGAAATTACCGTGGAATAATTGCACCTTGGTCATACCACATCCTACGAAAGGAAGGAAAAAGTCGCCAAAGTAAAAAAAGCTGTACAAGATCGAAGATACTTTGTTATTCAATGTATGTAGATTCAAGATCGTAAATAAATATTTCCTCCTTCTGAGAACAGGTAGCGATCAAAAAGAAGACAAGAATTTACACGTTATTAGAAGAGATTGGACGTGTTCATTATTTATGTGAATATAATCGGACATTATTAATTCGAACGATCTGTGGATCGAATCAATTTTCTCGAACTATCATTATCGTCGATAATCGAACGTTCTTGAGTGCGACATTCACGGTGTGTATTTCTAGTCGGGAGTATAATTACCTGCAGTTTAGTCAGATTTTTAATTCTGAATTAAAGTCGTGTTAAAATCACTCTCTTCTTCATCATTATTTAGTTTTTAACTGATAAATTAATTATCAAGGTATTTACGATCATTTAGGTAGTTAGAATAATTAGTTTTCTTCGAATCATCGAATTCTCGAATGGAATCGACGGTACATATCGTAATCGCAGCGATGGTGAACGTTATTAGGCTTATCTGTAAAATGCGCAACGTTTAAAAAGTTTTATTTAACCATGTAATAAATTTCGATAAGAAGAATCTCGTTATAACGTTACCGAGATCTCCTGCAGAGAGCAGCACGAACAGGCTTCTGACTCTACTGGCATCTGGCACGGGTTCATGGAATTTCGTCGCGTCATCGAATGCTTACCATCGATACTCGTAAATAATCGACAGAGTGTTCGAAATATATTCTATTACCTTTCCTAAAAATCACAACTCTTATAACGATAGTCTTCAAAATTATAACCTACAAATCTTTGCCTAAATAATTGTTGATTATGAGTCAGCCATCTTACGAAATACGTCACTAATTTATTTTATGTTACAAAGAAAAAGGTATCACCTTTATTCCACACTTTTCACTATATTTTAAAGAATATTCAACACGAAAGTATTTTATTTATTCTATTTAATAACCTTGCTAGATTTCTATTGGTTACCTTGATCGATAATCTCGAAATCGTAGAATCTGAATTATCGATATAAACGACGCGCAGCGCCACCATATTGGATGCGCGCGCAGCCGGCGTCACTTTGCCCGCCATTACGCCAGGAGGAATTTTCGAATTAGTTAGTGCTATTATAATTGTGAGTTTTTGTAAGAAATAGTGAGTGATTTTTGAAGAAAATGCAAGCAGATATCGAATTCGTGAGGGGGAACAACGCAGACGACCAAATTCGCTCGAAGTCATCGACTGTAAGTCAAATATCATGTTCTGTTTAATGACGTCATGTACTTTTGACATGAAACGTGTATCTTGTATGCCACCTATAGCAACGATAAATTAACTTTCTAAAGCAAGTGCACAGTCAAGCTTACGTGTTGTTTGTAAAGTTTTCTTGTAGAATAATAACGCGAAATTATTTTATTCGACTGTCATGACAGTCTGTACTCATTTGACTATCATGTCATAACGAATATCAATCGTTCTAGAATGTTCTAAACGGGAATAGATCGATTTGCAATTGCGACGCCATTTTGAATTACGCTGCCGTTAAATTACAAAGTAATACGAGTCGCAAATACTCGATAATTGACATTAATGTCTAATCGTACCTATATGTGGCATAATAGGATTATAAATCAAATACCAGGTTTAAAGATGAAGTTATCTATAAGCGTGTGATTAGTCAATTACACGGAGTATATCGACTGAAAATCTTGTACGAATGACTCACACAGATATTCGTTACTAGGAATACACAATTTTTTTTACAAAAAAAACGTTGTTATACGTAGGAATATTTATGTAGGATTTTGGAAATTTAAAACTCAAGCGCATTCGATAAATTATACCTTCATCTCGTGGTATTTAACTGTAATGGAAAAATGCCTTGTGAATGCCGCAAGGACGTCGGATGCGCATTATAATGCTACCTGACACACGTGATACTTTCCCACGTGATTAGTCACGGTTCTATGGTACACATAAAAAGGATCAAATGGAATGGATCGTATTTTGTATAATTCCATCATAATGATTGGGGTGCTAATGAATCTTTACGAATATTTTCCGTTTTATTACTCTTAATGAGAATTTTAATCTGCAAAGGGTTCAAAAATACATTTTAATCAGACTGTTACATAAATCTGATTGAAACAGTTGTAGGGCAAATTTATTTCTAGAACTTGTAAATTTCAGACAGTAGATTAATAAATTTGCAAGATTTATTTATTTCAAAATTTCTATGCATTAATTTTATAGGTTGGTGGAAAAATTTATTTCATAATTTATAAATCCACATTTCAGACAGTAGATTTAAAAATTCTCAAGATTTATTAATTTCCAAAATGTAGGGTAATAGTTTTATATTTTGGAGGAAATATTTATTCAAAAATTTATAAATTCACATTTCAGACAGTAGATTCAAAATTACTAAAATTTATAAATTTCAAAATTTCTATGTTGGGTAATAATTTTATATTTTGTGGGAAAAATTTATTTCAAAAATTTATAAATTCACATTTCAGACAGTAGATTCAAAAATTACAAAAATTTATAAATTTCAAAATTTCTATACTGAGTAATTATTTTATATTTTGTAGGAAAAATTTATTCCAAAAATTTGTAAATTCACATTTCAGACAATAAATTAAAAAATGACCAAAATATCTAAATTTCCAAAATGTTGTACAGTAATTTTATATTTTATTTCTGAAAAGTTTCGCGTCGATCTAATCAACATTTAATTGTAACTCGAGTTGGGGAATTCCAGTATAAAAATCGCCTCGTTCTTTGGTACCCATTTGTCAGACACGCACAGCGAAGCTCAATTAAATTGATCTCGGTAGTGTAGCATTTTATCATGGCATTGTAAAGGAACAATTGTTTTCTCACGTGTCTGAAAAACTGATTGCCAGTGATGTCACGTCCGGAGAACGACCTTCGTTGTTCGGTACATCCGCTACCTAGTTGTTTTGCATAGATTCAGGCGAATCTGGAAAGTACTATGCGAACGGAGTTATCTTTAATATCATTATACCTATAATCACTCACAAGCTTTAAGAAGTTGATCCTCTAAGTTGGATTATTTAGCTGGAATATTTTTGCTAATTAATTTGAACAATTTTCAAAGGGTGGTTCACATACATTTTTCACTTTGATACAATTTGAAATAAATTTTAATAGCATATTTGGTGCATGTGAAGCAGACAATAGACTCTGGAATTAATAACAGAAAAATAGTGATTTTGATGAATTCAGCAAAGTTTTTAGCTAAAAGATGTATGTGGAGCAAACAATAGAGAATTAATATCAGAGAAATAGGGATCTTGATGATTCAGCAAAGTTTTTAGTTAAAAGATTTTAAGATTGATATCTGAAAGAGCAAAAAATACCTTCAAGTACTAAGAATTAATAAATTTTGCAGATTGTTTCATTTTTTATTTTTATTCCATTTTATTTTGTTTTTATCGCAACGTGTAGTTTTCTAAATTATGATGATCAAGGTTCTTAGTAATTGCTGCAAACAGTGGTACATTAAAGGTACAGCACACAATATTGATTATTAAGTGCTGATTTAACTACGTATGTATTTCATTCAAAACATTCAAAAGATCAATGTTTGAACAATAATCAATGTTTGTAATAATATTAATTTAAGTAGTTGTTCATAAAAATACGAATGAATCTATTAAGTGTAAAATCAAAAACACAGTATGAACGAAACACAAGCTCTCTCTCTGCATCCCTGTATCGAGCGAAGTGGGACCACGTGTCGGATTCGCGTGTCCTGCCACGTGAGCCAGCCTCGCAGTGGGCGGAAATGGTGTCGAAGGGTGGTGGTTTGATAGGGGTTGGAAGCCAGGGAATTATTAAGTGCGAAAAGCGTGAATAAACGCTGATGTACGTGCAGTCTGTCAGAGAAAGATTCGATCCTGTTTAAATATGAAAGCTCTTCTAAATTTGAAGCGAAGCTTTTCTCAGCAGCGAGACACTTCGCTAGTTACAATTTATAGATCACTATTTTACTTGGGTCATTTATAATTTCTTTTTTAGTACAGACTGAAGTAACTTGTCTAGCTGTTGAGAGTAGTTTTGGAAAAACTGAGGGAATTTTAGAAAATTTTTTGAAGGGATCTCTAGGTAACTCTATACTCTTTGTGATTCTATAGAGTACTTTTTGTGACTCCATATAGTACTCTTTGTCAGGCTACATAGTATTCTTTGTGATCCTACATAATACTCTTTGTGAACCCATATAATACTCTTTGTGAACCCATATAATACTCTTTGTGACCCTGTATAGTATTCTCTGTGGCACCACATGTCTGAATTCTCTTTCATATCACTTACGATTGTCTTGAGAGTTATATAACTGTTATGCAATTTAAAGAGAAAATAAAATGAATAGATTTCGAGGTGGTTTTATTCTATTATGGACAAAAAGCTATAGGGGAGAGTTTAATCTAACGTTCCTCTAATCCAACATATCACAGGAATCGATCATTAATTAACGACGAACGTGTTTCTGGCTGAACGTGCAGGTATATGTATACCATAGGGGTGCAGGTGACGATAGAAACAGCAGAGTGGTAATCGATCGTAGAGATGGTTATTTTATTTCAAAGTAGACTGCTTTTAATTCCATATATAAATTAGCAGAATTCCATAATAAGAGTACTTCATATCTTGCATACGTCACACACATACACACATTCACATCCCACATACATACATGTATTCACATCTCAAAGTACAATACACATATTCCTTCATTTCTACATTTTTGGGTATAGTTAGCAAATATGAAAGAGTGTATTTAATACTAGATATGTTAGTAAAGGTCCAAAAGTCAAAGTCTTCCACATCCCACATATGTATATTCACATCCCATATACACACATGTATTCACATCTCAAAATACAATACACATATTCCTTCATTTCTGCATTTTTGGGTATAGTTAGCAAATATGAAAGAGTGTATTTAATACTAGATATGATAGCAAAGGTCCAAAATCCAGAGTCGTCCACATCCCACATATGTATATTCACATCCCATATACACACATGTATTCACATCTCAAAATACAATACACATATTCCTTCATTTCTACATTTTTGGGTATAGTTAGCAAATATGAAAGAGTGTATTTAATACTAGATATGTTAGCAAAGCTTGAAAATCCAGATTCGTTCACATCCTACATACATACATTCACATCTCATATGCATACATATATCCACATATCAAAGTATAATAAACATGTCCCTTCATTTCTGCATTTTTTAGCATAGCTAGCTTATATGAAAGAGTGTATTTAATTCTAGATATGTTAGCAAAGCTTGAAAGTCCAGATTCGTTCACATCCTACATACATATACATCCACATCCCATATACATACATGTATCCACATATCAAAGTACAATACACATGTCCCTTCATTTCTGCATTTTTTAGCATAGCTAGCTTATATGAAAGAGTGTATTTAATTCTAGATATGTTAGCAAAGCTTGAATATCCAAATTTGTCCACATCCCACATACATGCATTCACATCTCATATACATACATATATCCACATATCAAAGTACAATAAACATGTCCCTTCATTTCTGCATTTTTTAGCATAGCTAGCTTATATGAAAGAGTGTATTTAATTCTAGATATGTTAGCAAAGCTTGAATATCCAAATTTGTCCACATCCCACATACATGCATTCACATCCCATATACGTACATATGTCCACATATCAAAGTACAATAAACATATCCCTTCATTTCCGCATTTTTCGCTCTACCTAGCAAACACAAAAGTATCTAATTAATCGAATCCAATTTACATAAATAATTGGAGAAGACAGGGAAAATTTGTCGGGATCGGTCAGTTTAGCGTGTTTAAATCGTCGGAAGGGGGTTATTATATCGCGGAACATCCTTCATCATACGATTTTGCCAGTCAATCGCAGGCAAGTCGAGACATTGATGAACGTCCCGTGCACCCTCTGTATTTTCTGCTCGACCGATCTCCATATTTAAACCGAAGGCAAAATACCCTCTATACATACACGCGCTTCAAACGAGAAATCGCTTTTTCTCTATGTGCCACGTTCGCAGCGTCGTTCGATCTACATATAGGCAGAAGGGGTTTGTTTTCGTTCTCTTCTGTTCCTTTTCTTTTCGTCGAGACGATGCGACCAGATGAAGCAGATGCCTGCCATTCGACAGATAAAACTCTTCTCTACTATTCGTCG